AGCGGTTGCCCGGAGGCTCGGTCCGTCCTTCAGGGCCCTGCTGTTTGGGCGGGGCGGAGGCGCCGTTTGTGAGCCTTGACGGCTGGAAGAGAGCTAGTTTGGGAGCCGTTGCCCGGAGGCTCGGTCCGTCCTTCAGGGCCCTGCTGTTTTGCTGTGGCGAGGGCGCCGTTTGTGAGCCTTGACGGCTGGAAGAGAGCTAGTTTTCTTGTAGGTTCAGGAAAGCAACGTTAGGCAGTGGGAGCGGTTGCCCGGAGGCTCGGTCCGTCCTTCAGGGCCCTGCTGTTTGGGCGTGGCGGAGGCGCCGTTTGTGAGCCTTGACGGCTGGAAGAGAGCTAGTTTGGGAGCAGTTGCCCGGAGGCTCGGTCCGTCCTGAAGGGCCCTGCCTGCTGTTGTGTTTGCTGTGGCGAGGGCGCCGTTTGTGGAGCCTTGACGGCTGGAAGAGAGGTTGTTTTCTTGTAGGTTCAGAAAGCAACGTTAGGCAGTGGGAGCGGTTGCCCGGAGGCTCGGTCCGTCCTTCAGGGCCCTGCTGTTTGGGCGTGGCGGAGGCGCCGTTTGTGTGCCTTGACGGCTGGAAGAGCGTTTTTGAAGGTTTGACGGCTGGAAGAGAGCTTGTTTTCTTGTAGGTTCAGAAAGCAACGTTAGGCAGTGGGAGCGGTTGCCCGGAGGCTCGGTCCGTCCTTCAGGGCCCTGCTGTTTAGGCGTGGCGGAGGCGCCGTTTGTGAGCCTTGACGGCTGGAAGAGAGCTAGTTTGGGAGCCGTTGCCCGGAGGCTCGGTCCGTCCTTCAGGGCCCTGCTGTTTTGCTGTGGCGAGGGCGCCGTTTGTGAGCCTTGACGGCTGGAAGAGCGCTAGTTTTCTTGTAGGTTCAGAAAGCAACGTTAGGCAGTGGGAGCCGTTGCCCGGAGGCTCGGTCCGTCCTTCAGGGCCCTGCTGTTTTGCTGTGGCGAGGGCGCCGTTTGTGAGCCTTGACGGCTGGAAGAGAGCTAGTTTTGGAGCCGTTGCCCGGAGGCTCGGTCCGTCCTTCGGGGCCCTGCTGTTTGCTGTGCTGAGGGCGCCGTTTGTGAGACCTTGACGGCTGGAAGAGAGCTTGGAAGAGACTGTTTTCTTGTGGTTCAGACGAAAGCAACGTTAGGCAGTGGGAGCCGTTGCCCGGAGGCTCGGTCCGTCCTTCAGGGCCCTGCTGTTTGGGCGTGGCGGAGGCGCCGTTTGTGAGCCTTGACGGCTGGAAGAGAGATAGTTTGGGAGCCGTTGCCCGGAGGCTCGGTCCGTCCTTCAGGGCCCTGCTGTTTTGCTGTGGCGAGGGCGCCGTTTGTGAGCCTTGACGGCTGGAAGAGAGCTAGTTTTCTTGTAGGTTCAGAAAGCAACGTTAGGCAGTGGGAGCCGGTGCCCGGAGGCTCGGTCCGTCCTTCAGGGCCCTGCTGTTTTGCTGTGGCGAGGGCGCCGTTTGTGAGCCTTGACGGCTGGAAGAGCGCTAGTTTGGAGCCGTTGCCCGGAGGATCCGACCGGGTCGGTCATTCAGGGCCCTGCTGTTTGCTGTGGCGAGGGCGCCGTTTTGTGAGCCTGACGGATGGAAGAGAGCTAGTTTTCTTGCGTGTCAGGTCTGTGAAGGTAGTTAAGGAGAAAGCAACGTTAGGCAGTGGGGGCCGTTGCCCGGAGGCTCGGTCCGTCCTTCAGGGCCCTGCTGTTTTGCTGTGGCGGAGGCGCCGTTTGTGAGCCTTGACGGCTGGAAAAGAGCTAGTTTGGGAGTTGTTGCCCGGAGGCTCGGTCCGTCCTTCAGGGCCCTGCTGTTTTGCTGTGGCGAGGGCGCCGTTTGTGAGCCTTGACGGCTGGAAGAGCGCTAGTTTTCTTGTAGGTTCAGAAAGCAACGTTAGGCAGTGGGGGCCGTTGCCCGGAGGCTCGGTCCGTCCTTCAGGGCCCTGCTGTTTTGCTGTGGCGGAGGCGCCGTTTGTGAGCCTTGACGGCTGGAAAAGAGAGAGTAGTTGGGAGCCGTTTGCCCGGAGGCTCGGTCCGTCCTTCAGGGACCATGCTGTTTTGCTGTGGAGAGGGGCCGCCGTTGTTTGTGGCCATTGACGGCTGGAAAGGGAGTAGTTTCTTGTAGGTTCAGAAAAAAGCAACGTGAGGCAGTGGGAGCGGTTGCACGGAGGATCGGTCCGTTCCTTCAGGCCCTGATGTTGGGCGTGTGGCGGAGGCGCCGTTCGTTTGTGAGCCTTGACGGCTGGAAGAGAGCTAGTCTGGGAGCCGTTGCCCGGAGGCTCGGCCCGTCCTTCAGGGCCCTGCTGTTTTGCTGTGGCGAGGGCGCCGTTTGTGAGCCTTGACGGCTGGAAGAGAGCTAGTTTTCTTGTAGGTTCAGAAAGCAACGTGAGGCAGTGGGAGCGGTTGCCCGGAGGCTCGGTCCGTCCTTCAGGGCCCTGCTGTTTGGGCGTGGCGGAGGCGCCGTTTGTGAGCCTTGACGGCTGGAAGAGAAGCTAGTTTGGGAGCCGTTGCCCGGAGGCTCGGTCCGTCCTTCAGGGCCCTGCTGTTTTGCTGTGGCGAGGGCGCCGTTTGTGAGCCTTGACGGCTGGAAGAGAGCTAGTTTTCTTGTAGGTTCAGAAAGCACGTTAGGCAGTGGGAGCCGTTGCCCGGAGGCTCGGTCCGTCCTTCAGGGCCCTGCTGTTTTGCTGTGGCGGAGGCGCCGTTTGTGAGCCTTGACGGCTGGAAGAGAGCTAGTTTGGGAGCGTTGCCCGGAGGCTCGGTCCGTCCTTCAGGGCCCTGCTGTTTTGCTGTGGCGAGGGCGCCGTTTGTGAGCCTTGACGGCTGGAAGAGAGCTAGTTTTTTTGTAGGTTCAGAAAGCAACGTTAGGCACTGGGAGCCGTTGCCCGGAGGCTCGGTCCGTCCTGGGCGTGGCGGAGGCGCCGTTTCTGAACTTGGAAAGCTGGAAGACGGCTACTTTTCTTGTAGGTTCAGAAAGCAATGTGGGGCATTGCCGTGCGGTGCGGCGACCTTAAGCTGGAAACTTCATCAGGTATGCACGCGCCACTGGTTGGTGCGACACTGCCGGCCGCTGGGATTGCGATGCGTTACCCGAATTCGGCCGGAAGCCAGTGTTGAGTGCACCACCGTGCCGCATGTTGGACATGCATGCGAATATGTGCGACCTGCGAGCAGGCCATTGGTAACGCGAAATTGTTTGCCGCAGCCATTACCGCGGCGGTGATCGACGCGCCCTGTTGCCACAGGGCTTTGCACAGACTTGGCACAGTACGGGCAGATGTATATGTGCAGTCGTGGCGGTGCTGTGTCAGGCCCGACAGCAAGCTGCTGGTTCGATGAGTGGGCAGTGTCCGTTTTGGGACCTTCTGCTCGCGTGGAAGTTTGTCTTGCTTCGTGTATTTCCTGAATTTCCTTGCGAATGTCCTCTAGGATTGCTGCGTGCCGGTGGCGGGTTTCGCGTTGGCGCAAGCGGGCCAGGCGTTGATTCGTGCGATGAGCAAGACGGCAAACGAAGGCAAAGGCTGTGCATGCGTTGCATACTTGTGTGCCGTTTTGAGTATATTCACGACCTTGTTGCCAAGCTGTAAACTCTGTTCGTGGCTTGCGTTCCGCGCACTGGCGACATTGCCAACAGCCGCGTAGTTTGGTGGCACATTCTCTGCAGCAGCGGCGATCCGCGTTGCGAGCTTTCCATGCGGCTGCGCCAAAGTCGGATTCTGCTTTCACAACGCCACACTTGAAACAAGGTTTCTTCACTTCACATGTCAAACACACACGAAAAAAACTACACTGCCGTTGACGATGCTTTGCTGGAAAATTGTCTTCGGCATGCCACAGCTTGCAAACGTTGCATTGCCACGGCGTTCCTGCGTCTGCGTAGTGCTTTGTGCATTCGCGACAGACGCGATCCTTGTCCTCGCGCTTCCATTGACCGGTCGTGAAGGCTGCTGCTGGCTTGCGTTCCGTACAGGTTGCACACCGACGTTCTTCGCAGTATTTGGCCAACAACGATTGCCAGTTGATGAAATCCCCTCGAAGGTGTCGCAGAAGAAGGTCTCGGCCCAAACCAATTCCCTTTTGGAATGGAGCGGCGTCAAAAGGTCGAAAAATCAACAATTTTTCGCGTCCTGTGACGCGAGTGATCGCGACATAGACCGTGAAGGGATTTCCTGTGGGACCTATACAAAGATCCGTCATCACCCCCTCTTTGATGGTCTGTCCTTGCGCCACATGCGCGGTGATGGCGAACTGGGGTGCGAGCGGGAATTGCGTCCGCGATACACGCAGCTTGGGGCGTTGGCGTTGCCGGTCTAAGTACCACACACGCCTGCAAGTTCCGACGGGGTATACGTTTGCATCCGGCAGACCTGGCACATGCCATGAGGTTGCGGTTTCAAACCTCACATACACCACGGCCGGCAAAGTGTTGCACACGACTCCTTCCGGCGCAGGCGTCTCATTGGCAATCGTGGACCAACCGACGACGTAGCCCTTGGTGCCTTTTAGAATGCCACGCTTCCGGTCGAGGTGATCTGTTGCACGGACAGGCATGCCGACGCACAACGGCAACACGCCGTACAGTCCACCGCACTCTTTGTCGTGTCGCTGCAACCATTGCAATTTCTCCGTCGTCAAATTCGGCTTCTCCTGCACGACCACAGACGACGCAACATCTTGCGCAACAAATAAATACGGTTGCTTGTCTCTGGCATTCGCCCACTGTATGGCGCGAAGCTTGTTCACGTGGTATTTGATGTCGTTGGTGCCGAAAATCGCGACCGCATCTGCAAATTTCTTCTGGAACCGTGTGTCCGCAGCTCCTTGCGCCACAAGTATGCGCGAACGGCGATCCGCCGCACAGTAGCTGCATTCGGCCTCTTGTATGGCTTCTGGAATTAGGCCTTGTGTAGGCAACGCGGCGCAACTTGGTTGTTGGCACGTCGCCTGCCCAGCAATCCAGCTGCCTGGCACTGTGGTAGGCCGCCCGTGCAGAAAGCGATGGTTGTCGGACAAGTCACCATGGCGCAGTTGCTCACGCGCCACAGAAGATATGCCCAGGGGTCGGCGGCAGGGGGCGGAGCCCTTTAATTTCTTTGGGGTTTGCAACAGGTTGGGCCAAATTCGAATCTGATTGGCCAACGAAGTCTCTGAGACTCTCCAGATTTGGAGCCATTTGAGCATCCTGCAGCACCTTCTGCATGTAAGGCTCATATCTGTCCCTGCGCCGCTGTGTGGGTTATGTTGATTATGCTGATGGCAACCACTATGTGATGTGACAAATGTACTGTATGCCATGAGGTCAATGATGGCGAGCAAAAAAAAAACGCTAGTACCCGAAATCCAACGCAGCGATGCACGTCTCAGCTACGATTCAGATTGAAGGCTGGCACCAGCCCCACTGGGGCAGCAGCTCAGATCTGTCATTCGAGGCTCATGGGATCACAGATTGGATCATTTCTTGCAATTTCTTGCAATCCATCTTGACCCATCTTGACCCCCGGTTGTTTCCATCCTGAATTGGCAGTGTTTTGCATCCTCCGAATGTAATCCCCCACCAGTCTTCCACGTGGCACCTCAGAAGGTATGAGACATCGTGCAGCTCACCATTGGGCAATTTACTGAATGCCATCTTTTCCAGCAACTTATAGATGCCGCTGCCAGCCTCACAGCATGGGCAGTGAACATTAGGCAGCCAAAAGTCTTCCCAAAAACAATAAAACATACTGTCGATGGAAGAAACTCCTGCACCAGTTGATAGGTGGTTTATCCGTTTATCCCATCATTTATAGGGTTTCAACCATCCAAGGTGTTGCAGGATTTCTTCCATCCACGTATCTAGGGAAGTGGATGATCTGCAATCAGCTGTTTTGGCTGCCCCATCATGCCCAAGATTTCAACATATTTCAACATGTTCAACCAAGATCAACCAAATCTATGGAGCATCTGCCTTCACGCCCTGCCTTCACGTTGGTACCCTTGGTGTCCACGTGTTTGCTGCGTGGCACCTCAGGTGCCACACAGTCGCGGTACCGCAACTGGGGCACCCCATGGCGGATCCAATGGTCCCAGCCGGTGCTGGGAAAGCTGGACCAAAGCGGTGCCAGCATCGACCAGGTGTCGTTGCCTGAGCCATCAAAAACCGATGTTCAAACAGAAAACGGCCAGCCAGTTACCTCAGTTAACTCCAAGGATTAACAAAGTGTCCATTCTAGTCACGTTGCGTATCATCCAACCCAAGCCAGGGAAGTAGTCCGTTCGGAACAGCTTCCGTTCATCGGAGGCTATCTCCGAGAAGCCGTTGTCATTCCAGGAGGACACACACCAAATGGATGGGTCGTGTTCCAGCAAAGGAGCAGTGATGCGGAAGTACCACAGGAAGTCGGGAGCTAAAACTAAGTCATTTTCTATGAAAATGGCAAACCTCAGATCGTGCGTAGAGCATTTAATGCTGAAGATTCCAATAGCACAATTTAAAAGAAGGTGAAGAAGACGTTCATTGCATTCCATTTCGAGGAACCGGAAGGATTGGGATATCTGAACCATTCTTAACCACTCAAGTATGCAGACCTTATAAACACGTGGCCAGCAGTAGGTTGTTGAGCTCCAGACTGCTATGCTCAGAGTATGATGGGTCACTGGGAAATTTGCCAACACCAAGCAACTCAAACTTCGCAACTTCGAAACCTCAAAAGTTCAGAGGATCTCGATCAGTGGTATTTACAGGGAGTTTGCCCGTTGTCAATTCTGTGACATGTTGATATTGCACAAGTTGGCACATTTGTAAATGCAGCGGCCTGCAAGGTGACCAATATCCAAGGGCAGAACCGTACATATTGACGACTTGCATGTTTGAGTTGCAAAGACCTCCCTAGTGAGGCAACATAACTACTGGAGAAAGACATGTCTGTTTCAAAATCAGGCAAGCCAATAATATGTCGAGAATCTTTGCGAAAGCGCGAAGCGGAAATGCGCAGCTATCTTTGCCACAGGTACCTTGCCAGGCAGCTTTGTGGGTAAAGGTGTTATCTGTGCACTGTCTGTGTCACCGTTCCGAATAAACACTTGAACCAAAGATCCTGTTCACCAGAATTGTCACCAAACTTGCCTAACCCTTCCAAAACTCGGTGAGAAGCATAGATAGTACAGAGGAATAGTAGAGCCATGCAGAAGAGGCGAATCAAACAGGCTTAGAGGCTTAGATCTGCAGCAAAAACATGATGCTTTCACTTGGAGAACTCCCAACAGGTAATCCCAAGTCCCCCAGGCCTTCTGCTTTGGATCGTCTGGTTTTTTCCAAACATTGACCTGATACCTGCTGGAAGAAGTGCGCACAACAGCCTTGCAACGGCACATGACACCGGATACAAAGTATGAATATGAAGTAATTGATGCGCACAAAATACACCATACCTTGGAACCTGGCATGGGCGGCATATTTCTGAGGTATGATGTGGTAAGGCAATCATCTTCCCATCTCACTTACTGGAGACTAGTGGTCTACCGTTCAAACATATAAAAGTGTACAAATTGGCACAGTGCTCATCGCCCCTTCCTACCTCCATCTTGTCGAAGGAAGGAGCATGGTCCAACGAGACGGCCAAACGAAAAAGGCTCAAATCTGGTTGCTGCAGAAGTGAATCCAAACACCTGAAAGCCCGAGGGCTACAGGAATGACCGGCAGGACTATTTCCAACATGTTGCATTGAGTCTGAACTTTGCAGCTACTCAACAAGGTTTACGGCTGCCAAATGTGTATATGTTGTATATATATATATATACCCTCTGGTAATTTAACATAGCTATGGAAAATGGCAATTTTTAATGGAAAAACTCACTATAAATGGTCAATTTCAATAGCTATGTTAAATTACCAGAGGGTATATATACATACATACATATATGTCATTTACTGTATTCACCAGACTTAAATCGGACTTCTTTCGGCACCCGCTTCCTGAGCGATAATTATGCAAGCAACGCTCTAAGATACTTTCCATCACCCACATCAGTGCCTTGCAAGGGTGTCAGTTCGATCATGCGCCACGATGACAATTCCAGCTCTGCCACCACCCAGCGCTTCCAGTTTCGACGGGGATGGTGATGGAGCGACTTGAGCCGCATCCACAGCTTGGGCTTTGGAGCTTGACTGAAAAACCTGGACAGGAAAATCATGGAAAATCCATGACCTGGATGCGTGGATTTCTCGGCTGCAGTCAAGGTGCACGTTCGGAACTGGATAACCTGTCAAAGGACATGAAAATCGCCAGCTCTAGTGATGCCCTAATCGCCCTACAGTAACCACTGGGGCTGGAACGAATGATCCTCAAAAACGGGTTGCATCAAGTCCCTGTTTTGCCGCAAATCTTTAAGATCCCAACACCGCTGCTGACATGAGAGGTTGATGGCGACAGTTACGCATAGGGTCGATGTGCAGAAGATGGCCTGATACCATTAGGAATTATTTGGGTCCTGTCAGTTTGTCGTAGTAGATTTCTCCTCTACATTTTCTCTCACTCTGCTTCTGGGATTCTTCTTGGACGCAAAAGTCGCATCCAAGTCACGGTGGCTTTGTACTGTGGACAGCAGATTTCACTGCCCTGGCAGTCAGATTCCCAACGACACCAGTGGCTTCGTAGGGCCGCTCCAAGCAACTTCCCGCGCCTACCAGCACGTTCCATCGCATGCAGTGTGGCGGAATGCGCCCGGCGCAAACGTTGCACTGCCGCACGTTCGTGGCTGGGGTCGTCGGATTCACCTACAGCAGGAGATATCTGAATGCAAGACATCGATCTGAACCGGAAGCTACATAATCTACGAGAAAATCTGAGAACGAGTGATGTTAATTGGTTTGCATCATTGATAGCGGAAACACGATATATCATATAGATTCATATAGTATATAATATCACTGGAAGTTCAACTAGTAGCAATGATGGGAAAATGATTCCACTTGAGCCGTCTTGAGCCACCTTGAGGCACTGAGTTCGCCACTGATGGCAAGGTAAAGTCCAATCAATGCTGTGATAAATGCCAGCAACACCTTGGAAGAGCGGTCAAGTTGAACTCGAATCGGATTTCGGACAGTTTTTATCCCATATCATCCCATTGGCTGTTGCGGTCATTGGCAATAGATTATTCGCTGCTAATCGTTTCAGTAGCACTGTCCGTGACAGTGAAGTCCGATCATGAGCCATTTCAGCGCTGAGCGCCCGTTGAATCTGTTGAATTCTGAGATGTGTCACCAGATGTTACCAGAAAGCCAGTCCGGTCAGCTGGGCTTCCTCCCTGGTCCACTCAGATGCCCGCAGCGCCCAAGAGGATAAGAAGCGTCTGTTGAAACGAGCCTCAGACTTCATCTGCAGTGGCCTTCCATGGATTCTACATGATTCTACATGATCTGTATTGATCTGTTGATCTCAAGAATAGAAAAACCATTGTGAAAGTTTTTTCAAGAAAGGCACTGTACCAAAGCACCTTGAATTGCTGAGAGGATTCTGCTAGATTCTGCCTGACTCCCAAGATATCCAAGATGCTGGCTTGCACTGCACAAGCTCCGTCGACGGGAAGCCACCACCATGTTACAAGGTATGCCCCTTTAGATCCTGTCAGATCCACAGCCTGAACCCAACTGGTTGGTTCTATGTGCGCCACTGAATTTAGCTGTGGTACTTGACTTCATACTCAAGAAATGATATGTTTTCCATTGTTTTCCTAGATACCTTCAGATGTTTCAATTGTCGCTTGAAACATCTACATATATATATATATATATTTTTTGCTATCGTGGCCTGCAAAAATGCCTGCATGGCATGTTTGAATCTAGTGCTGTAGAGTCTGCAAACTTTGGAAAGATGAGACGCTCAGTATGATTCTGGATGTAGCCCATGGATGGTACGCAGCTGGCTGAGCCATAGACTCTTGGATCTCTTGGATCTCTTGGTGACCGGATTCACCAGCAATATCTGCCCCCATCCCAGCAAGTGACAGCAGCTTCTCGGACGTAATTTTGACACCGCACCCCAGCTGCTGCAGTGGGATGAAACTTGCCCGGTCACAGGGTGGCCGGGTTAGACAGAACTGGACAGAACTGGACAGAACCGGCAGATTATTCTGCACAAAACAAGATAGCTACGCTATCTGTTAGCCCCAAGCTGCTGACTTCAGAAGTACTCGAGCCACAACATGCAAAAACTGTTTGCTTTTGTTGCATGGAACCTTCCAGTCGCACTGTTTTGTTAGTGAACAGGATGATTCCCAGAAGTCAGCACCTCGCCCTTCAAAGCGCATGTCTTTCACATGCTTATACTTCCATTGGACATCCTCGGCCAAGGTGCATCGTTGACAAAGGCGGCAAAATACCTGGAGGGAAACTGTCTGGGGACCGGAAGCAACAAATCAAATCAGACTTGGGCTAAAGAAGGGAGAAAAAGAAAGGGCACCATGAACTCAGTTTGCCGCTGAATCTGCTGATTACTTGGCCAACATCTCTTCGATCTCCTTCAGCCTCAATCATCAGTGCGAATTTGTGTCATGGTCAAGCAGCTGACTTGCTGCTATGGGTTGCTACAATCACCCAAACCACACCTTACAATGAGCACATGTTTGTGTGTACGGCAAATATGTATGTACGTATGCATGTATGTACATACATATGTATATACATATTTACATACATTCACATACATGATTGCAGGTGCACAATTAAATTGTGATATGATTAAATTGTGTCTGCGTGCGTGCATTGGGTATACATATCAACAGTGTATGGAAGTTTGTGCAAAAAAAAATCAAGAATCTAGAATTCCCATTTGTTGCTTCGAATCAAGCTTCCTCTCTGGTCTGGTCACACCAGTTGCCGGTTACACTTAGTCCCGGGCATGAAGCGCGAATGGTCTCGGACAGTGGCCAGAGATGCTGCGATGCAGGACACCCCAGTCCTGGTCCTGAGGGGATTCGGAAAAAATGGGCGATGCAATGTATAATTTCATGTAACTTCCCTGGGTAGTTACTTTCTTTCGGGACTTTGCCCTAGACCAGAGCCTGCAGCCCCAAGTTTGAATAATCTTGTTCATCTCGCAACTTTGAATTCAACACCAAGGCTGCGGCTCGCCGTTGTACATCTCTGGCTTTGCACGGAGGTGGATCTGGCCACATAGAGTGATCATGAGACTTCGGCCAGCATCAGTTGGCATTAGCAATGTTACCTACGTTTGCGTAAGAATCTCCCCGCGCATCAAACAGCCTGAAGCATCTCTCCGTAGTAGGCATCTTTCAATCTGTTCTCAATTGCCTGCGCACAGGACTATACACTTTCTGGCCAGGAAAGCACCTGATACTTACGGCCCTGCAGCGCTTACCACAGAAGCACTGCTGACTTTTTCCAGATACAGAAGAAAGAGCAAAATGGAGCTGAGTAGATCCGATACAAGATGTGAAGAACAGGAGTGTTGACAACAAAGTACGCAAACTGTTTATGCCTTTCACTCTCGCAACTAGTTACCTTGATTCCCCTTCCCTTTTGAAGGCCAGAGATTTTCCAAAGTACTCCTTGTTTGTGGCGAACGAAATCTTGCGTGGCCTCTCGGCCCTGCTTTTGCTCGATGTCTTGGACCTACATTTTCGCAGCTGGTGGCATGCATGGTCGGATTTCGGAAAGTCACAAGGCAAAATGGTAAGGGGTGGAGGAAACGCTGGAGCATTCTCCTGAAAACAATCAAGATTATGCATAAATGACTTTAAAATATTCTTAAAAATAGTATATATAAAATACTATATATATATTATATATATATAAATGTGCTTGGTATTGGTACGAGTACTCTCCCAGTATCCAACACCAGCATGGCCCAATGATCCCACTGCGTCTGAGTCACCTCCTGTGCTGTGAGAGAGAGCACCTTCTCAGCTGCCTGCGGCAGGGGCAGGGCGTTACTGAAGGTCCTCTGGTTGCGAAATGTTTTGTCAGTTTTGATATATTGACCCGAGGGCCCAGCTGGATGGAAAGCGGTAACCCAGCAGTTGCCAGAAGCCTTGGGGCTGACTGGACAAATAATTCAAAGGTGTGCGCCGGAAACAAATATTTAGCACATCATCAGATGTAAAATTGTGAGCTTATCGACGCCACACCGCAGAAATTGAACAAGGTCGTCACATCTTCAAATTTGCAGCGCAAGTTCAAACGAGGTCCAACCTAGCAGCCGCAATACAGCCGACGGCGAAATGCAAAGGCCGGCATCAGAGTCCGTCACCCGAGTCAGTCACCAACCCCACACGACAGAGTCAGTCACCACTGCACACCAGCAGGGGAAGCAGGGAGATCATGATAGAGAAACAGAAAGTCAACAACAAAGAGTCGGTCACCCCTCGGGGGGAGGATCAAGGAACCCCGGGGAAAACGGAAAGTCAACAACAACAAAGAGTCCCGCAAGAAACCCTAAAGCAACCCTGAAGAAACCCCAAACCAACACTAAGTAAACCCTAAATAGACTCTAAAACAAAAGCGTGACAAAACCCTACATTAACCCTAAACCAACCCTAAATAACCCCTAAACATCCCTAAACCATCTTTAAAAAGAACCTGATGAAACCCTACATTAACCCTAAACCACCCCCAAAGAAACCCTAAACCACGCCTATATACCCTAAACATCCCTAAACCAAGCCTAAATATACCCTAAACCAAGCCAAAGTAAACCCTAAACCAACCCTAAATAAACCCCAAACCAACCTTAAAACAAATCCTGACGAAAACCTTCAATAGCCCTAAACCAACCCTAAATAACCCTAAGCCAAGCCTGAATAAACCCCAAACCAACACTAAGTCAACCCTAAATAAATCCCAAAACAAACCATGAGGAAACCCTACAGAAACCTTAAACTGACCCTAAGTAGAGCCTAATACACCCTGAAACAACCCTGAGCCAACCCTGAAGAAACGCAAAACCAACCCCAAAACAAACCCTGGTGAAACCGCAAATAACCCTAAAACCAACCCCAAAGAAACAACATACAGTAAACACGGTATCACAATGCACGATGTTGATGTAATACAATTCCCCGCCATCCTGGTCGCCCAGGGCCCTGAGGTCAGTCACCCCTCGCCACTATAATGTGAAGCGTGACGGACTTCGAAGAAGGGGGGTGAGTGACTCAGGGTGGTCTGACTTCGCCAGTGGGTGACTGACTTCGTCTACTCTCGAAGTGCAAAGACTTTCTAATCGTGCACCATCGCTGAGCAATGCTGATCACCAAAAAGTATACACTGACTAAACATGCAAGTACTTTGCACATCTTTGCACATGTTTGCATATAAAGTTCTGTTTGAAGGTCTTCAACGCAAGCTTTCACAATACTGTTCTGTCTAACACCTGTCGTCAAAAAAAACGACATCGTGGCCTTGCCCTTCTTCTGGCACACGGCGCAGAATTCGTTCTCATCCACCCGGCGATTGCATGGCAGCATCCTTCCCTGCATGCCTTCCTGCATGCCGCTCGGCCGCTTGGCTGCTTGGTTTTGGTTTGCTTTGGATAACTTTTCGGAATGTGGCGATATGGGGCACCTTCAGTTCCAAGCACGCAGTGTAGTAAAGCGGCCTTAAAGGTCTTCCAAACCCCATCCCGTTCCTCACTACTGGTGATTCAGCTACTTCACATGACACGTCACAAGATCATCGCTGCTGGTTTTGTACAATTGATCCCCATAAGAGTTGGGATGTCCATCTAGTGGGGTCAACTTAGCTGATCTCTTGAACTGTATCTAAGTCTTTGGCTGCACTTCATCCCTCTTGCGCGTCTGTACCTCAACTGCCAGCTATTCCAATCCGGGAATGCTGAGGTGCCGATGCTGCAGGCTCGTGCGGCTAAGGGGTGGGCGGCCGCAAGGCGGCAATATACGGAATAGGTCTGCTGCTCTGTAACAACCTTCCAATGGAGCAGTGATGTCCCTGCCCTTGGGGTTGTGACAATATCTTGGGCAAACTGATCGGCGTCGCTTACTCGGCCTGTTCGCATGCCTGCTTCATCTCCATAACATCAAGGATTTTGCCAGACACTCGAGGACCAGGACTTCCAGTAGTCTGGACAAGGCTGAAATGGAGACGCTGAAATGGCTATATAGCCGCAACTCAGCCCCTTTCAACTAAAGCACAAACAAACTTTCCTTTTTGAAGATCCCTAATTGGCCAGAACTTAATGCAACTTTCTCCTCGGCCATTTCTACTGTGGCAAACTCAAACACAATTGTCAAATGGCTCAGCCCCCACAGTCATTGCACCAAAGCCACCATGGGGACTAAACAGCCGTGCCTGGGAGATGAAAGTCAGATCTTGGGCATGGCCGCTGGTTTTCCACCACTCCAGCACCTTATCACCCCTCTCCACCCCAAATTTGACTCGAACAGGACCTTCGCAAGAGCTGAAAAACTGCCTTCAAAAGAACAGGGGAGCTGCGTGACAACAACCAAATGGCTCATGGTCATTTCCTCTGAAAGACAAAAATCCTTTCAGGTTCTTTTCTGAATTTGAATCCTTTCTTTTCAGAAGGATCGTTCCGACAGACATTCCAGCGACACAATCGACTGAAGCGTCCCCACCCTCTTTGCTTCTGGGAGGTCCGGATGCAAATCCAACTTGCCGCCCTGGCGCAGGCACGTGCCCCTGAGCCCTTGAAGACATACCACAAGGCAGACTGGGTTGGGTTAAGTTATGTATGTTATTCATTGTTATTCATCCCGGACTCACAAGGAAATGCCGAACCACGGCACTGTGGCTGCCTCAGTCAGCGAGCCACTAAGGCCTCCTTGCCACTCCTGATGGCAACAATCAACACTCCAAAGTGTCGGTTCGTCGTGTTTGATATGAAACTTAATGCGTGCAAACCCGATCAACTCCTCATCATTTTCCATGTCTGCGTGATTTAAAACTAGAAGCTCCAATGCGTGGCAAGACAGTAGCAGCTATACGTCATCAAGCACCGCAGAAAACACCTCAAATCGTGTGTTTGAATTGAATCGAATTGTTCAATAATTACAGAATTGGAAATCCAATGGGCCCTCCATACGGTCTGTTCCAGGGTAGCAGCAGCACACGACCAGGGTTTGTGCGCCTTGACGATGACGCCCTTCATTGCAACAACTGGACTGCCACTGAAGGCAGAATCATCCTGGCGCACATGTGAATCATGGTCAGCGGTTGGTTGCATTTCAAATGCAGAGGCTGGCCAAAATCCATCTTTCAAATTTACAGTAGTCGTTCTAATATGTTCCAATAACTTTCATCAGTTTGGCTTCAAAATGACGTGGCCTTTTCAGCACGTTCTGCCCAAAGTGTGACGGCCATGCTCATGCCACTGTCATCCTTAATCCAACGTCGGGAGAAACTTGGCATCCTCGCGTTGGTCCACAGGGATGTCGGTACGGCTCTAAACGTGAACCGAGTAGACTACCAAAGTGCAAAACCATGCAAAGACTATATTAGTTTGATCCACAGTGTAGGCCAACCCTGTTTCCTCTCTAGCCCGTTGGATCCATTAGTGGTCATGAATTATCCCCTGTCCCCTGGTATACACTTGCCGACTGGTTGAGGCCCTGGCTGCTACAGTGATGTTTCTCTTCACCAACTTCCTCCTAAAAGGGTGAACAACATGCATTGACCTGCTCACCACATTCTTGTTCAATCCTAACCCAGCTGTTGATGCTTTCATAGGTTCACACCAGTGGCTTGGTTGATATCCCACGGCCCAAAAATCTGCTCCGCTACATTAGTTCTGAGGATATGACCCATCTTTGGATTCAAAGGCGATGGGCTGCTCATAGGAGATGAGGATGCCACAAATATCAACACTGCATGGCCTCAGTCGCCGCACTTCGCACCGTTTTCTTGGCGCGACTGCATAACTACCTGACCTGTGGGCTGTAAAAACCCTGGGCCAAGGACAGTGTCTTACCCTTCACCTCAGCAAGATGACGGTCAAAACAGGTCATGACTGGTACATAGTATGTCACATGGTATGTCCAACAATAGAGGCTATCTAAAAATCAACGAAACCTGATCCATTTTTAGGAAAGCCATGTGTATTTTTAGATGATTTTAGATGTATTGACAGTATTGAGATGCATTTCTGGTATCCTCAATTTCTGGTCACCTCCATATCCACCTTGGGGGATCGGCAAATATTTCGCCAAGATTCTGAGCGCAGGTTCTCGATAGCATACCTTGGCCAAATAATCGCCAGCTCGATTTGCAAGACAGGCCGATGGTCGGTAGGAATTGCTATGAAATGTTTCAATCCTGATATCCTGATGAAAGTTTTGGAACTACAGCGTTCAATCAAAGTCACCTAGTCTACTTGAACAGACTGGTTCTTGCACGACTGATTCTTGTCAATGAAAGGCTCCCACTTGACAGCATCAATCTTCTTGTCATCTTCCACCTCATCCACCTGCCACGATCCAAACGTTCATGGTGCTATCCAAAGCGCCCTATTCAACAATGTGAATGAGAACCATGCAAGCCTCTGATGCATGTGTAATTTGACAGTATGAGAAGGACACCCATTTCCCAGAACATGCACATTTCTCTAGTGTGCAACGTGCAATGACTCTGAATCCTGAAAGAACAATGCGACCAAATATATACATAGCATGACATACCCATAGCATCCCGCAGCTCTCTGCTTCCAACAAGTGCCTGTGCCAACTTGTCGAACACCAGTTCATAGCGATGCTTACCTCGGAGTCTTGATCTCTTGCGGTGCCATCTTTGTTTTCCTTGTGTCTTCAAGTCACTTTCTGCCAAAGGCACAGGTGTTGTACTGCCTGTTGGCGATGCGCACGTTACCTTTGCTCAGCTTGAAGCACTTCCCCGCCTAACGGGTTGGCATGGGCCAAGGTAAGAAACAATGATTCATGAAGAACTTTGGGATCTTTGGTTCGATGGATTGCAGCATCATGATGATCAGTGAACATATTGAATATTCTAACCCCTCAGGGCCTCCATGAGGTTGTAGAGCTTCTCAGCGGCCTCGTTGAAGAAACTCGCCCTGATCTCACCACCTAGAGCAGTTTCAGCAAATCTCCCGGGTCAGGCATGCATTTGCCAGACTCTGGGTGTCTCATAATTTTTGCCTACTGATTTTGGCAAATCCTTTTCGTACTTTACCACTCGTCATGGAAATATTGGAAATGATGACGGAAATGACGGAAATGGTATCCTGAACCCAAAGAGTTGGTGACATTTCTTCTCCCGCCTTCAGCATCCAGCAGTTCCACACTGAAGACCTGTGGCGGTTGGGAGGGGATACAAGAGTCGAACGGGTGAAAGAGTCGGACATAAAATCGAAGGACAACAGCAAATGCATGTGTACAATTCATGCACCCGTGAAGGCAGGTAAAGAGATAGGATAGACATGTTTGCACAATTCATGAAACAAATCACAATTGACTAGTGAAAAAAAAGGTGGTGTTGCACGAATATCAGAAAAAGCAAGGCTGTCGTTAAATTGTTAGAAATAAAATCATGAATCGCGTCTTGACACGTAAATTTATTGGTGAGGTAAACACATCCATCTGAAGTCGCTTCACCTTGCCCTCACCACCGTTGCGTTGCTTGAAGTCGCGCCTCAGGGTAGCATCGACGCTGGCACGAGTTGGGTGTCAGGCCCGTGGTGGGACACTTGTTTCAGGGAAAGTAAAGAAAAAGTGATGGCGGTGGCAGTTGCACAGAAGACGAAGACGATGACGCTGACGATGAGGATGAGGATGATGATGATGATGATGATGATGATGATGCTGATGCTGATGCTGATGCTGATGCTGATGCTGATGAGGCGGCGGCGGCAGTGGTGGTGGTGGCGGCCGCGGCGGCAGGGATGGTGGTTCTGGTGATGGTTCTGGTGGTTCTGGTGATCATACGATGGTGACGGCGGTGACGGTTGTCACAATTGTGACGATTGTCACAATGGTGACGATTGTCACAATGGTGACGACGGTGATGATTTGACAATACTGGCGATGGGAGAGGGATGATTACACAACACTGCGAGGAATAGCGTAAATCTACTCGAAGGATACAACACCTGTAGACCCACTGGAATTCACAACCTGGCCCTTGCTTTCTCAAGTTTGTTTTTGACCAGCTGCGGTGCTGATCCTAGACTTGCTGCTGAAGACACACTCCCAGTCTATACTTCATGTGGCTTGGCGAATTTCTAAGGAAGATGCCACTACCTTCCGTCCTGCCCACACTCAGCTTTCCACATGGGCGTACGCGTGGTAACCCTTCCCTTGATCGTCCACTTGGTGCCCTGCCCGTGATCAAAGAAGTCGCAATTTTTGAAATAAAATACCGAACGGCCAATGTAACGATGACGGCATCTGCTAAAATTGACACCAAACATTAAAACAAAAATATATACATCTGATTACATATGTATGTGTATATATATATACATACGGCGCGTGCGCTGGGCACACTTGCTTTTGAAACTGTGGAATCTTGGCATACCAAGATTTAGTTTAAATCGTTGTCCTTTTGGCATGTGAGCTCTACGTGTATCGTATTGACACATGCCAAGTACTCAGCTCTCCCCAAATGTTCAGAACACGACCTGGGCAGAAATCGCCACTCCGAACAACATGTTACGCAAGTTCGCAAGCGTGCAAGAACATGGTTCAACAGTCCAAGTGATATACTCATGAAGGTGATGTGTTGGGGCCAAGATCGATTCAAACAATGCAGCCTGGTATGTGGACAGTTCGCGAATAGGGAAGAAGATCTCCTCCTGAATGGTCATCTCTGCGATTTCCTCGCGCCATCGGCAGCACCAAGCAGTTGTCAAACCACACTACAGTGCATGGCGTCCTGTGAGGACCCACGCCGCTTCATCGATTTTGAACAAAACCTGATAAACCACGAACCCGAATGCATTAAAAAAAAAACTCACGTAGAAGAAGGGCTCCTACAGAACAATGAAAAGCAAACAGGAGATGCGCGATCGCATTAAAAACCACTCTTGCAGAACACTCTTGCTTGACACTTTTCTCAGACAATGGTGTGGGACGGACACTCTTTTGTGACACTCTTGTGGCATACTCTTGCGGGGCACTCTTGGGGACACTTTTATGGGACACTCTTGTGAGACACTCTTGCCTGACACTCTTGCTCGACACTCTTGTGGCACACTCTGGTAAAACACTCTCTCTCAATACTCTGAAACACTTTTGTAAGACACTCTTGTTGGACACTCTTGCTTGACTCATCTGGAACACCTCGCAGTACTACTTTGTACTACAAAGCGTCCACACAGTACCTCACAGTACTACTTTATACTGCAAGATCTTGCCCAGAGTAATCCCCGGTGCTACTTTGACCCAAAAATCTTGCACAAGGCACTTCCCAGTGCTACTTTGTACTACAAAGCTTGCACAAGGCACTTCCCAGTGCTACTTCGCACTCCAAACTCCACACTCCACGATTAACTCTCCACACATCATACTCCACATTCCACACTTCCCACCCCACACTTCACACTCCACACTTCACACTCCACACTTCACACTCAACACTCCACACTGCACACTCCACACTTCACTTTTCACCATTCATACTTCAAACTCCACACTCTCCGTTCCACACTTCACACTTCACCCTCCACACTCCACACTTCACACTTCACACTTCGCACTCTCCACTCCACACTTCACACTCCACACTTCACACTCAACACTCCACACTTAACACTTCACACACTCCAAATTCCACACTTCATACTTCGCACTTCACACTTCACACCTCACACTCTCCACCCCACACTTCACACTCCACACTCAACACTCCACACTTCACACTCCACACCCTGCGCTTCACACTTCGCACTCAACACTCCCCACTCCACCTGGTAACCTTGCCTGGGAACCTTGCTTGGGAACCTTGCTGGGAACCTCTTCCTGGGAACCTTGCTTGAGAACCTGTTCCTGGGAACCTTTTCCTGGGAATCTTGCTTGGGAACCTCTTCCTGGGAACGCTTGGGGGAACCTCTTGGGAACCTCTTGGAAACCTCTTGGGAACCTCTTGGGAACCTTGCTTGGGAACCTCTTTGGGAACCTCTTGGGAACCTCTTGGGAACCTTGCTTGGGAACCTGTTGCTGGGAACCTTGCTTGGGAACCTGTTCCTGGGAACCTGGGAACCCTTGCTTGGGATTCTCTTGGGAAAGGAGGCCCCTTCCTGGGAACCTGGTTCCCAACCTTGCGCGGTGCGGATTTGGCTGCTCCGACCTGCTCCGGGGCCTTTACTATGGCTGAAGACCCCCAGCTTACGCTGTTGGGGAAAAAACAACTGTCGCTTACATTCCAATTATATTAACAACGACCAGACCCCACTCCAGCCAGATCTTAAGACTGAGCAATCTCTGGACACATTCCGTCCTGAAAATGACTTGAGGAGTCACGCGCGGGTTGTGTGGCTGAGCCCAGTTTCTTCGGCACAAATCCAGGTGCTGAATCTCAGGGCAACAAGCCGCTCTATTGCCTCCATGTGCCTGCGCATGATAGATATGATAGCATCTGTCAAGGCTCAGAGTCGTACATCTTCGTGCTCGTGTCAAGAAACGCAGGATCCACTCAAAGGTTGAAGTCAGACCAAAGGAAAGTCATGAAACCACCGAACGACTCAGCGAAACCTGCGATTTTTTCTGTCGAGCCAAGAACTGTACAGGGCTTTGGCTAAGCCAGAGCCTTCGGCTGGCACAAAGCTGGAGCTTAAGTGAAACCCCAGCTTCCAAACAAGGACACCTATTGTGGGATTGTGGGGCGCAGTGAACGTCGAAGAGAAATCTAGAAATTTACACACTTGAAGCTGATGGGTTTCAGAATCCGGCTATGCGAAGTATCAAGTCAGAGTATCCGATACTTCAGTCTATTGAAAACTGTACAGTGCCAAAGATATGGAAATCCAAAGGGTCCTGAAAATCATTTCCATGAATGTACGTAAAATAATCAAAAATTGCGAGAAATTGGGAAAACAAATGAAGGCAGTGCAGGAAAAGGAGACCTTTGGCTTTCCAGTTGGCCTCCACAACGCTAGCGAGGCTGTCACATGTCTCACATGTCTTCCCAGGTGTCAGGGACTTCCTCCTTGGACTCCCAAGCGTCCGGCTGGGGCTTGGGCCGAGGTGCTGTCCGTGATCCTGGCCGAGCTGGACATCGTCCAACACGCAAGGCTGTGACAATTCAAATAACCGTTTTGATGGTGAAAATCAATGGAAAATCAATGGAAAATAAGTCTACAATAAAATCATGTAAAACCCGTGACAAATCAATGGAAAATCAATGAAAAATCAATTTAAAATCCGTGGAAAATCAGTGGAAAATCCATGGAAAATCCATGGACAATCAGCGGAAAATCAATGGAAAATCTGTAGAGAGCCAATGGAAAATCAGTGGAAAATCAATGGAAAATCCTTTGGAAAAGCAGTGGAAAATAATTTTACAGTAAAATCTGTGAAAAATCAATGGAAAATCCGTGGAAAATCAATGGAGAATCAATGGAAAATTAGTGGAAAATCAGTGGAAAACCCGTGGAAAATCAATGGAAAATCAGCGGAAAACTAATGGAAAACCCGTGAAAAATCAATGGAAAATCAATGGAAAATAAATTTACCTATAGTAAAATCCGTGAAACACCAATGGAAAATCAGTGGAAAATCCGTGGAAAATCAATGGAAAACCGTGGAAAATCAATGGAAAATCAATCGAAAATCAATGGAAAATTCGTGGAAAATCAATGGAAAATAAATTTACAATAAAATCATGTAAAATCCGTGAAAAATCAATGGAAAATCAGTGGAACATCAATGGAAAATCAATTTAAAACCCGTGGCAAATCCATGGAAAATCAATGGGAAATCAATGGAAAACCCGCAGAAAATCAATGGAAAATCAATGGAGAATCAATGGAAAATTAGTGGAAAATCAGTGGAAAATCCGTGGAAAATCAATGGAAAATCAGTTGAGAATCAAAGGAAAATTGGTGGAAAATCAGTGGAAAATCATCCTTATCCAGTAGATTTAGGGGTACCCTATTTTCAAACACAAACCCACATCATGTAACGCAATGATTGCAATCTATGTCGTCCAGCGGCATCCATTCACCAACATGGGACTTGCCCGGCCTGAGGTAAGAGTCTGCTCCAGTTTCACCCGCAATCGTGTGGCACCGGGACCTCATTTTCACCCAGGATCTCATGTCATCTTTCCATCTTGTCATAACATCGAGGTGGCTACACAGCTGGCACGATCACCTCAGCTGCAAACTTGGCTGTCCCCAAGCTGAATGGGTACGAACTGGTACAAGATCGGCACCAGGCTCCTGCAAACATGTCTTCTTGGGAAGAAGCATACACTTATCATACTTGAGATATTTTCAGTATGTGTGTCATGTGAGCATCTACTGAGCCGACCGGCTCACAAATACAGATTGAATTCTCTTCACCACTCCTTGAAAGAAGACACTGGATCAAAAAAAGGCAACCTGCTGCAATTCTCTCAGAAAAAGGAAAAAAATAAAGTTACAGCCACAAAAACATGCTCCATCATCTTTCCATACCTTTTCCCATACCTCCCACATGCCCGGCATCCCGGCATGGCCAGGCTGGCGTCCTGCCCGGTGAGGCGTCGGAAGAGGTTGGCGCCCAAGGCGCCGCGCTCCACGAAGGCGACCGCCTCGCCGCCGTGGCCGTCGCTGGAGCGGACGCCCAGCAGACCGTCGGCGGCGCTGACGAGGTCGTAGACCTGGCGTGGAGCTGGGAACTGTCACAGATCCATGATACATGTGACATCAAACAATACCCAAATATCCGTGTGACATGAAAACCAAAATTTTTCGAAATCTGATCTAAATTGAATGAAGCAGCATTTTTGGCACCGGAAAATGGAAAATGGAATAAAAGGCTCGATGGTTGGGATCCCCTTTCTTTACCACTTCTGCATTCCCCACATACCCGCTATCTATGGGCTGCTTTTACAGGCTGCCAACCTCGTCCAAGCTTTTCAGCCCCACAAAACGCAAGCAAGGCCGGGAGCTCAATGCCTGAGGCGTGTTCTGGTCTTGGGGCCCAGAGAAAACAGGTTACTTAGGGAAGCGTCTCATCAAGAAAGTGAAGCTCCAGATTGGTAGATGGGCTTAGGGAATCGAAACCGGGGTCATCAAATTGTCAATGCAAGGCTCTTTTTGCCGACTCTTCTGCCTGGTTGTTAACGCTGGTGACGAATCAACGCTCTACACACGGGAGTGGAGGCCGACCTGCTAACATGTTCATCAAATCAATTCAATTGATGCAAACTGTAGCTTAGAAAATATTGTGCACACATCGCAAGTCGGACTTCATATGGCCCAGCAGAAAGTGCACGAAGATGGTCACCAGAAAACAGTGCGTAGGACGCCGTCCATTTCGCAAACACTGTGAGGCCACGGCAAGTGTATCATCCCAACCGCTCACGATGAACCATTTGACTCATTTGACTCATTTGACTCAGACATTCGAAGTTTCCCTGGTTCATGGTAAAAATGGCTGAGTCACCAACATACTTATGGTGTAATGGACACGGTAAACGCTTGCAAGGAATCCATTGATTCCCAAAAACGCACTGCTTGCGCATCATTTGAAGGCAGCACGTAGAAGCGATCAGGACAGTCATGGACAGTCCATCAAGACAGCATTTTTTGTGGTCAATGATGCGTAAGAAGCATGGTACCCTGCTTCTGCTCGCACATTTACGATGGCCATGTGCTGAAAGAACCTTATATACTCCCCATTACTCCCCTATAGAAGCCATGAGTTGGCGCTTACACCAGTGATGTGACGACAAAAAAGAATTGAATTTCAAGCCTTGCAGGGTGATTGTTTTCAGGTTGCTTTGGCTTGGATCGCCAACCAGCTTTAATGTTGTACAGGTGTCCTGGAAATCATGTCAAGAATCAGCTTGGATGTCACTTTCACTAGCAACTCACCAGAATCAAAGGTAGGTCCAAGGTCCACCAACCTTACAAGGGCACAAGGCGTTTCTTGAGGCTCTCGGCAAAAACACACCTGCCCTACTTACCTGTTACGCCAATTCCGAACTTGAACATGGAAAAAAGGAACACGTCTTGTTTAGTCATAGGCCCTTGCAGCTCTACCGCTGGTATCCGACAACATCAGAAACCGTTCGTAGTTCTCAAGGTGTCTTGCAGCTGCCACAATCCGCCCCATGTGGCCCATGCCGGGTCGGTGGCGACATCAATCTGCCAAACCTGAGCCACTCCTGACACGGCAGCGACTGCGTGACCTTTGAGATCTTTATATCCATGAATGTATGAGGGCTCCAAGGACAAAATTAGAAACAAGCAAGATACATAGATAGACAGACACACAGACAGACAGATAGATACATATATTATATTCATAAATAAATATATATATATATATAATATGCATATATATATATATATTAAGATGTTTTGCGTTCAATTTGATCACTGAAATCCCTGGCGCAAAAATGCATACATACAGTATGCAAGCTATCAAGCCTGTACAGAGCGAGAGTTTCCAGATCCCTGAACTCCTCAAGTCCTGAATTGCATTGGCATTAAGTGTGGCTCACCTGGATATCCTTTTGACAAATATGCTGTGGGTAATGTAGGCAGGTTCAGCCGCAGAAGAGCGCAGTTCAAGCGTAGGATGTCTGGTTCTATAGCAGAAGCATCCAGAGAAACCAACCCCAGCCATATCACCAGGGGCGGCGCACCTTTTGTCGCCAGATCCATCTGACAAGCCACTAGAGCTGCTGGCGCCTTTCCAATGATGGCTCATCTGAAATTCAAATTTCAGAATCCTAAAGCGGAAAAGAAATATCCCATGACAGGATGGGGCTGGAGATCAACCATGAAACTGGTTGTGTTGACTTGGGCGCCGGACGGCTGCTTTTGGCCTTCACAGACGGTGCAAACAGAAGTTCATCCCCTGCTTGTGACCATGGGTCTCACAAGCCAGAAGGACTCCAGCAATTTCCAGGAAGCACGGACTGTTGCATTGCAACAAATGACGTGGCATCAAAATGCTAAATTGTAATAGATGATTGGCTATACTATACCATCATATATGGTGCCCATGGCATCAAGCGACGAATCCAAACAACACTGTGTCAACCTATTGTGCAACATGCAAAAGTACATACACGAACGACATGTGCAGATTTATATACATCATTTTACAGAACGAGAGGGAGAGGAAGAGGAGGAAGAGAAAGAGGGAGAGAGAGAGAGAGAGAGAGAGCAGGGGGAAAAAACACAAAACAAAAATGGCACAGACTTCGGTGGTTGAGGCAGGTGAGCCAAGACTTGACTGACACAATGGCTATGGGCTGAAACCTTTAAAAAAGAAGACCGTGATATCACCACTGTCACAGGAGGAGCGACTACTTTCAAACCTGAAGGGAATTCAAATACAAGGCTCAGTCCGCAAAAGAAGCACTGAATTCGATTTTTTTGCCATTGCAGACTGACCCGATTTTAATGACTCAATATATGTTCAACGCCGTGCACGTTACAGCCTACTGCTCCTTGTGAGGACAAGGCCTTGACACTCACATGCTGAGACTTCGATCTTCGTAGGTTCAGCAACAAGAAAAACATCCGCTTCAGTCCCAATTTGGGCCAATTCAATTCCGTATACTTCACAAAGATAGATGCTGCAAATGGCGGTGCTGTATTGAATGTCTAATGCGCAAGGAGAAGCCGCCGAACATCCCCAGCATCCGCCCACCTTCTTGGCACTGGACTGCTGGCTGGGCACACTGCCCAATGATGGGGATGGAGATGTGGATCGTTGTAGCACAGCGTTCACCTCCAAAGTATGGCCTTGGAGCAAGAGGTTTTTTAGATTTTTTTAGATTTGTTAAAAGATGAGTCTGAAATTGAACTAACGTTATTCTCCACATCTTTGTGTGGGGTTCTGGTTTTTGATTCTGTATCCCGCTCCTCCGCCTCCGCCTCCGCCTCCGCCTCCGCCTCCGCCGCCTCCGCCTCCTCCACACAACATTGTCACACACCATCTTTCAACACAAACTTTGTCACACACCATCTTCTCACACACAACTTTGTCACACACTCTCTTTCACACACAACTTTGTCACAGACCCATCTTTGTCACCACCTTTGTCACACATCACTTTGTCCACACACACACACACCTTTGTAACCATCTTTCACACACACCATCTATGTCACACACAACTTTGTCACACACCACTTTGTCACACACAATTTTGTCACACACAACTTTGTCACACACAACTTTGTCACACACAACGATGTCACACACAACTTTGTCGCATACAACTTTGTCACACAACACTTTGACACCCACAACTTTGTCACACACTCTCTTTCACACACAACTTTCTGGCACACCATCTTTGTCACCACCTTTGTCACACATCACTTTGTCACACACACCTGTGTAACCATCTTTCACACACACACACACCATCTTTCTCACACACACACACAACTTTGTCACACACCACTTTGCCACACACAACTTTGTCACACAGAACTTTGTCACACACAACTCACAACTTTGTCGCATACAACTTTGTCACATACAGCTTTGTCACATACAACTTTGTCACGTACAACTTTGCCACGCACCACTTTGTCACACACCATCTCTCTTTGTGTGGCAGGCGTGGCACGTGGCGCCGCGGCACTTTGCGTGGCAGGCGTGGCACTTGGCGACATCGACCTTCGTTTTGCGTGGCAGGCGTGGCACTTAAAGACACGGCGCGCTTGGGCGCGGTTAGTCGCCCGTGGCGCCGCGGCACTTTGCGTGGCAGGCGTGGCACTTGGCGACATCGACCTTCGTGTTGCGTGGCAGGCGTGGCACTTGCTCACATCAAACACCGTTTTGCGTGGCAGGCGTGGCACTTATATGACACTGGTTTGAATCTGGTGGCGCGCTTGGGCGCCGTTAGTCGCCTGTGGCGCCGCGGCACTTTGCGTGGCACTTGCTCACATCAACCTTCGTTTTAATGGCAGGCGTGGCACTTATGACACTGGGTTGGACACTGGATTGGATCTGGTGGCGCACTTGAGCACCGTTAGTCGCCTGTGCCGCCGCGGCACTTTGCGTGGCAGGCGTGGCACTTAAAGACACTGGGTTGGATCTGATGGCGCGCTTGGGCGCCGTTAGTCGGCCGTGGCGCCGCGGCACTTTGCGTGGCAGGCGTGGCACTTGGCAACATCGAACTTCGTGTTGCGTGGCGCGTGGCACTTGGCGACATCGACCTCGTGTAGCTTGATGACAGAACTGGCTTTCACCGATGGCCTGCGAAGCCTTGACCCAGCGTGGGAGGAAACATGCGCAGCAGCGGCTGCTTGTGCAAGCCGCAGCCATTCTGGCATGTTTGACTGAAATTTGGTGCAAGCCATGTTTAACGTACCTTTCGGCATGTTTTACAGAAACTTTGTGCAAGCCATTCTGGCATGTTTGACTGAAACTTGGCGCAAGCAATGTTTAACGTACTTTTCGGCATGTTTGACAGAAACTCTGTGCAAGCCATTCTGGCATGTTTGACTGAAATTTGGTGCAAGCCATGTTTAACGTACTTTCTTGCGACAGAATGTGGTAAGCTTGGTGATGGTGACTACACACTTGAACAGTGTCATTTTCGTGGCTCATGGTCAGCGCTGAAGTGGAAATCGTCCATGACAGATCGGAAACACACGATTGATGCTTCGTCGCTTAGTCACCTATTTCTGTAAGAGGCCACCGGAGCAGAAATTCGACATCTGTACAGGAAGATAAAGACAGACAGTGTTCCTTTCATCACTAGTCACTAATCAATGCCATGGCGGTTGAGTGACCTTGGAATGGTGCCATGTTTTTTGCGCCTGCTACCCGGGGCCTTGTGACGTTGGACCCGGGCGATTTGATAGAATGTGAAATCGTCCCATCCATGCGAATGTTGGGCGATTGCGAGCCCGACTCGTGGAAGAAAGTTTGCCAAGACATATGACATCATTTTACATGTGACAGGACGAAGGCGAGCGCAAGACAGAATGACCTGGATCGGTGTCGGTGGCAGGCGAGATTGTTGTGTACTGCAAACATACAGGCTGTGTTGCACATGGTTTGACCCACTGCATAATCGGGACTGTATGGATTTCCACGCTCGTGCTTTTGCTGTGTCTGCTACCTACGAGACTCTTCCAGTTGCACCACATGTTCCCATGGTGCATGCTTTCGCAAGACAACAGGTGCAAGGAAACCAAGGTCAGTGTCTAGATGTAGATTACATTTTGATCCATTTCGTTGGGCCAAGCATGAAACACTGGTTGATGAGTGTCGATCATCAGTGGACCGCTGCATCGCCAGACCTGTTACGGGAATCTTTTCTATCTTTGGTGGTTTTGTGCAACCGCTCACACCAGAGCAAGCTGTCTTGGCATCAGGAACTGTTCTCCCGACCGCTTTGCTATGACGTTGTCAGGAGACGATGGTTCTGGGCCGATGCTGACATTTTGGAAGAGCAGAGAGAACAGATCCCTTTCACAAGAGCTTGCTACAAAGCAGCGCATCTGCTCGCTGAGGATTTGCAAGGATACAGGAGTGGCGAAGCAGACGCGCACGGTGTCTTTGTCCAGTGACAAGAATGGTTGTCTATTCATTTGGGCGAAACTGAAAAATCGTTCATCGACGTTGCCGGCATTGCAGCAAAGCTAGGCATCGGTCATCCAGACTTACCGTGAATCGATAACTTTCGATTTTGACTCAACGTGGGAAGAAATCGCGTGCACCGCAGATGAAGTTGGCGCTGCCAAAAAGATCAGTGCATATTCGTGCCGTATGTGAGTACCAATGCTGTTGTTTTCCATTTTCTTGAAACTGGCTTGAAACTCTGGCAAATCGTGTTGAACCCATCTTGCATCGCTTTTTATCATTGTTCTACTTGTGTCGACATTTGCTTTGCGGCCAGGTGCGTTCCTAGAACTTCTTTGTGATCATGGCACCCATGACGAAGCTTGCCCCGATGGACAGTGTGTCGTCATTTTGTCTGTGCTAGCTTCGACCCAATGTGGGCAGAAGTGCTTGCATGGTGCCTTTCACCACTCCGAATCGCAATTCAATTGCATCCACACTTGCTTTGCGGCCAGGTCCCTATCCCCGCATCTCATCGGGCCTATGTGTGCGTTGTCGGTTTGTCCGTGCTAGCTTTGACACAATGTTTCATATCTTTTCCAACCGAATTCCAGCGCTTTGACCCAACGTGGGAAAAAGCGCTTGCATCGCTTAGTTTTACGTGACTATGCACGAGTTCCTGTGCCAAGCAGAGCGACCTATGGTCGTCTGTCACCCAGTTGGCCGGTGGAAGCGCTTGGATCGCCTAGTTTTACGTCACTGTGCATGTGTTCCTGTACCAAGCAGAGGGACCTATGGTCGCCTGTCACCTCGTTAGCTGGGGGTGCGGGATGACGCGGTCTTGTGTGCTTGGGGCCAACGCTCAGTTTCCAACCGAGTATATGATGGCAAGGGCAATGGGCTAATGCGCCTTGCTGGGCACACGCCGTCACTTCTGACGCGTCTGTGCCAAGGTCGTGTCGGTGAGCACAAATCAATGCGCAATGTGCTCAGGCGGCGTCAAGTGGGAGGCCAGTTGTCACCAAACTGCATGCTCGGTTTCACTTTGGGTGTGACGGCTTTGAAACAGCTGTTACTTGCTTTTTTGTCCTTGTTTATTCCTCAACTGTGTGCGGCTGGTTATTAGCTAAAGTGCAGCATGGTGCTCTCCAATCTTGATTGCGGCAGTGGTAGCTTTGACCTTGCATCGCTTTGTTTTACGTCACTGGGCATGTGTTCCTGTGCCGCGCAGACCGACGTATTGTCGGCTGTCACCTCGTTAGCCAGGGGTGCGGGGTGGCGCGGTCTTGTGTGCCTGGGGCCGGCGCGCATGAAGCAATCTGCAACATGCCAAGGCACCGTCCAGCGGGAGGCTCTCAAATCACACGACCTGCTGCAATCGCGTGTGCCTGTTGTGGCAATTCTGGTTCGTCTCATGTTTTGCTGTGTGCTCCTGTACCAAGCAGACCGACTTGACGTCGTCTGTCACCTCGTTGGCCGGGGGTGTGGGATGATGCGGTGATGTGTGCTTGGGGCCAACGCTCGGTTTCCAACCAAGTATGATAGCAAGGACTATGGGCTAATGCGCCTTGCTGGGCACACACCGAGGCACTGGCCGGTCAGTTCACGTCCTTACGACTGTCGAACGTCCCGCCCTGCTCTCCACCGCGTCGCTTGGGAGGCCGGGTTTCTCACGCACAACTTTGGCACATGCAACTCTTGCATACACAACTCTTTTACACGCAACTTTCTCACACACACAACTCGTTCACACTCACTCATACACAACTATTTCACAACTTCCTCACACACAACTCTTGCACACACAACTGTTTCACCCTCATACATCACCTTTCTAACACGCACGCACACACACAACTCTTCCACGTACAACTTGTTTTAACTTATCGATCCTCCACCACCTCCTTTGTCTTTCATTCCTTCTCCGTCCCGCTTCAACTTTAGTTTCTCATGATTGGAAGAAGTTGACTTGTGGAGTTATCCGGTCCTTTAATTAACGTTTTTCAATACCTGGTAAAAATCAAAGTCTGATATCACGTCCGCCTTTGTCTCAGGTTTACTTCCTTAGGGAAAGAAATCACTGTCCTCCTGAGCACGTAGCGCTTAATCTCTTTCTCAAGGGACTCCTCTACCTCTTTCTCTGTCTCGAATCGAAAACCTCTGAGGGAAGGTCCTCAGTGAGAAGCTTTTGATGGAAGGTCCATCTTCACCTGGAGACATCCTCAAAAATTGGAATCGCTATCCAAAAGAAAAACCTCGCCGGAACAACACAGCGAGAGCAGCTGGCAATGGACGAACAAGTACATTCCACTCGGCAGCTGCAGAAGATTTTACGTTGGCAGCAGAAAGCATGGCAGGGTGTGCGGTGTATTTTAGCTACAACATCTACAACAAGAGTGAGGAAATCTGTCACCGACTCACTTTTCAGCTTTGCATTTCATTCTGGTGCTTCATCCGAGAGCCCAGCCACGTTTCATTTCGCCCCCCTGAGACGCCAGCAACACCCGTCAGTGTGTGCTCAAAAGGTCCCAGTGATTCATAATGTCACAAAGAAACATATCCCGCACAGTGCAAGGCTACCGCAGTAAATGAATCACATGAAATGGGAGAGAGTCGTTACAACATTGCCCATCTAATTCCAAGAATTGTGAAGAATGTAGCCTGTATACACTAAAGGCCTGAGTCCCAAATATGCTGGGAAAAAACTGAGCAATCCATCTCTTGGCTTTCCCACCAGGCTCAACATGCTCGTACGGCTCATCGTTGGACTTTGCCACGAAGAGGCCATGAAGGTTGGAAAGAGCGGCCTCGGCTGGGCAGCTGAGCTCGGGTGGAAACAAAAGCGCTGGGACACTAAGACTTGCGCCTCCACCGTCCACGACTGGTCCTGAGCACCTCATTGCTCTTTTGCTTCCTGAATCGACAGAAGCTGACCGTTGAGGTAAAGCTGGCAAAGTCTGAAGGGTGAACAAACAAAAATAAGTGCAATGTTAATCCTGACTCCAATGTTGTGCATGGTCAGCGACTTCTTAGGAAAAGCAAAGTTCAGGAAACCCCTTGTGGCAAGGCCAACCGAATGGAGAACAAAAATGACTACATATATATATATATACATACATATATATATATACACATAAATATAGAGAGAGAGATGCGATGGGCACACAAGTTCACATGCAAGTCGCAGTGGAGCAAGACGCCTCATTTCACATTCATCGGTGAACTGCTCAGGGTCTTCCAAGTCATCTGCTGATGCCACTCTCACCTCAAAGTGTCAGTAGATTAGGATGGGAAGGCTGGTCTCCTTCCATTGACATTCATGAAGGCTCAAAATGTTATTTCAAACATCAAGATATATGCGTACATCAATATCAGCATGCAGGGAAAAACCTTCTTGGAAGGGGAAAAATAACTGCACAGAATATATCAAGATCTTATTTCAAACAAGGGCAATCTGCTGCACCATCTCCAGCTACCACCAAGAAGCTTTGAGGAAGTTAGACCGTTGGCTCGATCTGGCTGACCTGGCTGAATCCGTCAGGCTGGGCCGACCCCATGGCCCCATGGCCCCATGAGTATCTTGAGGATGTGTTGAAGATTGGATGAAGATTGTTGAAGATGAGGATGTTCATATGATGTTCATATGATGTTCATATGATGTGTGGAAACTTTCTGCGCGTCATCTCCACCCCATCCAACATGCTGAGCAAAGCAACGAAGAAAAACCAGCCAGGGGCTCTTGGGAGATGTGTGGGACATCAGGTGTCCCACGTAGTTGTCAGACAATGCATCGTCAGAATCGTCCGACCGGTCAGGAACCTGCAGTAGAGAATATATTCTTCAAAAGGCAAACAATACGGAACGAGGTGCGCATCAAGAACAAGAACAAGGTA